AGGTCTGGGGCTGCCTCAGTAGGGGTCTGCTCCCCTTAAAGGGCTGTAGGTGTGGCTGGCACAATGTGTGATGTATTTAGTAAAGGTGTTGTAGTCCTAAGGGACAGCCTTTTGTCACAAGCCCTCCCAGTGACGTTGTTAGTTCATAGTCAACTTACAGCCTATGGAGCCCAGTTTCCTAATTTGTACAGTAAGTGGGTTGGGCTCCAAAATGCTTGATGACTGCCTCTCCCCTCAAACTTCTGTACATAAACTCTCCACCCCAAGCTTCTGTTTATTTTTGAACCCAAAATTTCATTTATTTAAAAAGATTTTATTTATTTATTTTTAGACAGAGGGGAAGGGAGGGATAAAGAGAGGGAGAGAAGCATCAATGTGTGGCTGCCTCTCATGTGTGTGGTCCCCACTGGGGACCTGGCCCGCAACCCAGGCATGTGCCCTGATCCGGTATCAAACTGGTGACCTCCTGGTTTGCAGGCCAGTGCTCGATCCACTGAGCCACACCAGCCAGGCCCAAACTTTCATTGCAATAAATGCTAGCTATTATTATTTGCCTTTCAGAACCATCATTTTTGCCCTGCCTCAATGTCTGAATCTTGTATCCCTTTCGGTTGTTTCCTTCTTTTTTTTTAAAAACACCTTTGTGCCATCAGCATCTATGAATGTGCTTTTGGTGTCACCACTCAAGACAGGACCAAAGAGAAGCCTGGGGCAAGCCACTGGAGACCCTCCTACTGGCACTCTGGTTTCCGTGATCAAAGGGATGCGAATCTCCTTCGCAGTGCTAGGAGATGCTCCAGGTTCTCCATCTTGACTCTGAAGCTACTGAGAGACTTTTAACGAAGCTTTTGCCAAAATCTACACCTACTGTATCTCCAGCAATCACATCCTTGACTTATGTCAGATATTGTTGAGACAATCCCATATTTTAGATAGAAATTTGTGACTTGCCCAAAGTCACATACTGTGGCCAGGGCTGGCTCCTTTATCCATAATATCATGTTCTTCTATCATCGTACTTCTACAGCTCAGGAAATGCATCTACTGTTGCTATAATAAATTACTACACATTTAGTGACCAGAGGAACACAGGAGCTTCTCACGTCCCACCCAGTCCTGTGGGTGAGAAGTCTGACACCGGCCTCACTGGGTGTCGTGGTGTCAAGTGTCAGCAGGGCTTTCTGGAGGCTCGAGGGGAAAATCTGTTTCCTTGCCTTTTCCCGTTTCTGCAGGCTGCCTGCAATTCCTTGGCTCCTGGTTCCTTCCTCGACCTTCAAATCCAGCAACTTGGGTGGAGTCCTTCTCAAGCCGAATCTCTCTGCCCCTTCTTCCAAGGCCAAAGCTCTTTCTTCCCGTGGTCCCGAAAGCTTCTTCCTCTCAAGGAGACTCCTGTGATTAGACTTGGCCTGCCAGGATAAGAGAGGCCACTCTGTCCACCTAAAGGTTCTTCATGTAACCAAATTCACTTTTTGTCAGGTGAAGTAGCATATTTCTGGGGACTGGGGTGCAAACATTTTGGGGAGGCCATTATTCCGCCTACCACGCCCAGTCTGTAGACTCAGGCCTCCTGGGACCAGTGGGCTCAGGTAATAAAAACAGATGTGGCCTAGCTTTCGGGGTATGGGGAGACCTCCTGGACTTCCTGCTGTTGGCTGCACTTCACCAGTTTACCCAGATGACTCCCTGAACCCAGCAAATTCTGTTTTTTAAAAAATGAAATTTACTTATTGATTTGAGAGAGAAACATCGATTGGTTATTCCACTTATTCATGCATTTATTGGTTGATTCTTGCAGGTGCCCTGACTGGGGATGGAACCTACAACCTTGGTGTATCGGGACACAATACCCAACTGAGCTACCTGGCCAGGGCTAACACAGCAAATTCTTTCCTCAGATGCCCTCGCAGCTGGGCTCCCTCCTCCTGTCACTGTAGCCACCCATTCCCTGGGACAAGCAGCAGAGGTCAGGGGAAGGCAAGAAATGGGCTTTGGTATTTGTTTTCTAGGTATTTGACACTACTGTCCTGGAGAAGCTGTACAGCACTGGCCCTTCAGCTCCCTGAGGGCCCTTTTTTTTTTTTTTTTCATTGCTTGGAGAGAGAGAGAGGAAGGGAGAGAGAGAGAGAAAAAAAACACTGATGTGAGAGAGCAACGTCAACTGGTTGCCTCCCACATGGGGCAGGACCTGAGATCGAACCCACAACCTAGGCATGTGCCCTGACCAGGAACTGAACCCATAGCCTGTTGGTTACAGGATGACACTCCAACCAACTGAGCCACACTGGCCAGGGCACCCTTCAGTTCTTAAAAGGCCCAGGGGTTCCTGACACGTGGGCAGATGAGGTGCAGCTCGAAGTGACAGGCACTGTTTCTGATGCCCAGTTTTGAAAGGTAACGAGTGTCAATATTGCACAGATCCCACCTGACACACGCGGGGAAGGAGAAAGATCCCGTTGCCATCCCTGTCTACAAAAGAAGGCCACAAGACAGTCTAGGGTGGAAGGGAACGCAGACGGTCGTAAGGAGACATATAACCATCACCAAAAGAGCTAAAGAGGAGAGGGAAACGGGCCAAGCCTACCTAAGACGGCCAAGCCACCGTGGTCGTGCAGTTTGGCAAACCCCGGGTCCACTGGGCACCCTCCCTCCTGAAGCCTCTCCAAGGGCCAAGCTGGTTGATTCTTTTTTGAGCACACACTGGAAGCTCGACTTCGGCATTTTACCTGGCATCCAACCCATGTCGACTTGGACTTGGTTCTGAACACTGGGATATTACCTCCAGTTTAACCTATTCCTGCAGTTGATTTATACACACGCTGCCCCTGCCCCTGCCTGCCGCAGGCACGAGCACCCTGGCCGCCCCCTCCCGCCCCTGCTGCCAGCTGCACTATACTCCCACTCAAGTCTCACAGGCCTGAGGCCCCCAGGGAGTCGCCAGCACACGCAGGTCTCTTATCTGACTGGGTGCCTGGGGGAGGGGACTGGGTTGTTGGAAACTTTAATCAAGCAGGGACAGTTAACAGCTGCAGGGGACACCTTAGGAAACAGTGAACCATAAAAAAGGAAGTATTTGTAGAACCTGTCCCCCTGATCTTTTAAGACTTTTCTGAAAATGACCAGTCACTCCCTGCCATGGAGAAAAATACCAGCTACCACAGACACCCTTTAGCCCACAGAATCCTTCGTGCTCAATCCCCGGGGCAGGCTTAGAGGCTCACCTGGCACTGACTTCCCTAAGGGGCCACGAAGACCTGGGGTTGTGGGCGGTGCCTGCCCACACACACACACACACAAACACACACACACACACACCCTACACCTGCCTCTTCCGGAGGCATCCTCAGGTGACAAATGTGCACTTCTGCCCCCGTGGGCGCTCTGCCTGGGCCAGGCTGGGTGCTGTTAGGCCGAAGTCTCCACAGACCCACAGGCCATCACAGGGCTCCTCCACACACCACTAATTAGCATGCAGTGAGGCCCTCTTTTTCTCCTCCTCCCTGTTCCTCCCTGCAGCTGCAGGGCTGTGCTTCTGAGGGGGCGGATGTCACCCATTAGGGGTGGTTTTTCCTACGTCGTCCTGCCCCAGCCTCTTCCTACCCGCAGAAGGAGGCCCCTGTGGGGTTACATTCCAGGTCACATCCTGGTGAGAGAGTCAGGGGGCACCTGTGAACCGAGGCTCAGCAGCCACCTTCTTCCTCCCATTTCCCTCTCCTCCGTCAGCAAGGCCCTCATCATTGATAAGGGCCTCTCAGCCCCTGGTCTCCCCCCCGCTCCCCGTAAGCACCCTTTTTTTTTCCTTGGGGCTGGGTGTAAAGGGACAATATGGGGAACTTCCTTACCAGTAAAGAAAGAAATAAACCAAAACCAAAGAAAGAAAATACCAAAACCTCAGCTGTTCCAGAGTCTCCATGGCCAGCACTCAGTCCCTGCTTCATTGCTTTGCCCACCTCCTGTTGTCTAAGAGGCTGCAGGCTTTCTCCATCTGTCTGCAACGCCTTCGCCTGCCTGCTCCCTGACCACCCCCTCCCCCGCAAGGGGACGTGAGCAGTCGGTGCTGCAGGTTTTCCAGAGGTGCACAGGTTGGGGTTGCCTTCATCCTCACCCCTAGTCCAGGCCTATCCCAGAGCCTCTGCTTCCCGGGACTCAGCTTGCTGGGTCCAGCTCAGATGCCGGGACACAGGAGATGCCATGAGTCCAGCAGGCGGCAGGATGGGAACCGGAAGGGGATGACTGGCCACAGTGATGAGTAGGGGGGCAACAAGAGTAGAAGTGGTCAGGGAAAGTCTGTGAAGAGGAGGCTGGGGGTGTTTACATAGGAGACACAGTGTGGTCCCAGCTTCTCTGCTTCCGACAAAGGCTGCGGTTCCCAGGAAGGGCTTTGGAGTGCGACTTCCTATGTGTGGGGTCCTCGGCAGCTCTGTGCACCTAATGGTGGGAGGAGAGCTGGGTCCACCCTGAAAGCCCATAAACTGATGGGGAGATGGGCCCACAAAATCAGAGACTCTTTTCTGAGAACCAGTACCTGCTGGAAACCCCAGGATGACAAGGAGCTAGGCTCTATACTACAGCCCCCCAATCTGATGGGGAGGATGAACACCCCCACACACAACTGCCCAGCAATGACTGAGGAGATCCTCTGGGGCCAGTTGGGCACAAAGGAGCTCTGATCACACAGGGAAAGCCTGTGGAACAGGCAGCCAGGAGAGGGGCCACGGGCAGAGCAGGGCAGATGATGGGAGGATGGACATTTGGAGCCCAGCACTGCCAAAGTGGGTCTGGGACACAGAAGGTGGAACACAGAGATGACACAGAGACAGGCCTGAGTAGTGGTCCTGTGCCACCCCCCCGCCCCACCCCCCACCAACCCAGCCCAGATCCCCATGTTCTGGACCTTAGTTTCCCCTCCCCTGCCCCTCCGTCCAGTGCCCAGGATGCCATCCGCTTCACTGAACCCATCTGTCTGACACTTGCTCACATCTTCCTCTTTTGTGACTAGAAGTCACAGGACAAAGCACCAAGCCCTACAGTCAGAGAGGAAACACAGAGTCTAAGAGTGTGGACGGGACAGAGGGGACAGTGGCAAGGGAAGCCTGGTGCAGTGGAAGGAGGGGAGACGGGTGGGGCAGAGGGCCCCAGGACCATGGCTGAGTCTGTCACCTATGCCGACCTGCGGTTTGTGAAGGCTCCTCTGAAGAAGAGAATCTCCAGCCATTTAGGGCAGGGTAAGGGTGGAGGAGGGGTCTCCTGGACTCTGCAGCCCCATCCCCTTCACGACCCCACCCCAGCCCACCCCACAGATCCCCATATCCAACTCCTACCTTGGCCCCTTTTCTCTCCTCTACAGATCCTGACGATGATGGGGAACTCACCTATGAGAATGTCCAAGTGCCCCCAACCTCAGGGGGAGCCTCAAGCCTGGCTTCCTCTGGACCAGGAGGCAAAGCTGGTGGTACGGAGAGCCCAGGGGATGTGTGTTTGGAGGGGGGCTGTGCCTTGGGCTGGGGAGTCCACAGCATTCTTGGGAGGATGATACCCTTGGGAAAAGGAGGAAAGTTCTTAGGAAAAAGAATGAGCACTGGATAAAGGGCAGCCAGGAGAAGAATAAAGCTCCCAGGGGCAAGGTGGATCCCAGCGGAGAGGCAGGGATTGGGAGGGATCAGGGCAGCCCTGTGGGGAGATGAGTTCGAATGGAAAATGGGGAGTCAGAGGAGGGGGGAAGAGAGGGTAGCGAAAGGGATGAGAGAGAACATTCCTGGGAGAGGGTTTGGGGCAGGCAGAGAAAGGCCCAGCGGAAAAGATTAAAGGGAGACTCTGGAGGACAAGGAGAGGGTCCCGGTGGTGTGGGGAGCGGAAGATAAGACTCTGGAGGGACACGAGAAAATGCCGGGGGGGGGGGGGGCTGAGGAACTCCGCAGAGCGCTAAGGGAGACCTGGAGCAGTAGCGCAAGGCACCGAGGCGCAGCGCGGTGGAGGTGGTGGGTAGGTGGAGTGGCAGAAAGGGCATTTCCCGGGGCTTCCCATTTCTAACTGGACTCGCTCGCCGCGCGCAGGTCTTCAGTCCGAGCAGCCGACGGCGTCCTGGAACCCCGTGACGTCACCAGCAGCCAGGCGCCTCCTGGTCTGTGAGTACCGCGCCCTCCCTGAACCAGGCGCCGCCTGCGGCGGGGCTCCAGCGCAGGCATGTGGGGCGGGGCGGGGCCTCGGGTTTGGAGGCCTCGCCCACCGCGCAGACCCCACGGGGCCCTTCAGAGCTGGGGGCGGAGCAACGTGCAGAACCTCTCCGCCCCCGCCCGAGCCCCCTCCCGCCACCCCGCCAGATGCGGGTAGTGCTGGGCCCCGTGGTGTGCGGGTTTGGTTCCTGGGGTCCCCGCGACCCCTTTCTCTGCCCATTTCACCCCCATCTTTCCGAGGTGTCGACCCAGATCCTCTCCCCACTGCCCATTTAGGATGGTCCTCATTCACATCTGAGTTGGAGATTTGTTGCCTTCTCCTAACAAGTAGTGTCTTCAGTCCTTAACCAGGAACAATTCCCAGCCCTTATTCTGGACCCTCTTCTCTGCGCTACTCGCAGAACTACTCATTGCCCAATAAAAACCACCATGCCTGCACCGTGTCCTCTGAGGGAGGCTCTTTCCCGTGAACCCCTCCCCTTACCCCTGTTTATAAGCTTGTTCCTGGGGCTCACTGCCCCGCGTGCCACTTGTCTCCCTAAGGCCGTTCAGCCTTCTCGAAATACCTCCTGGGCCTGCTCCTTACCTGCCTGCTGTTAGGGATGGCTGCTGTCTCCCTGGGAGTGCGCTGTGAGTATGGCTCCCCCCATTTTCCACTTACCCTAAACAACTTTCTCTCAAAGAACTTTCTCCCTTACTCTGCCCAACAACTTGCCTTCCTGATCAGGGGCGGACGTTACTATCAGTACATCCTTAGCTTTTGGTCTGGTTTCCAACCATGTCTGTTTTAGAGCACCGCGTCTTCCTGAATTAACCTCATCTAATCCTGTACCCCCTTAACGTTTAGGCAGTCTGAGCTTATCTTTCAGCCTGGGATGCAAAAAGTTGCAAAAAGCATAAAAAGGATTGATGCTGAAGTCTCAGGGCACCAGAGCACGGCTGAAGAAGATGTCAGCCAAATCTCTCTTCATGCCCCAACAGATCTGCAGGTGTCTCAGCAGCTCCAGCACGTGAACAGGGTGCTGGAAGCCACTAACAGCAGTCTGAGGCAGCAGCTCCGCCTGAAGATCACCCAGCTGGGGCAGAGGGAGCAGGATCTGCAGGGGTCCAGGAAGGAGCTGGCCCAGAGTCAGGAAGCACTAGAGGTGGAACAAAGGGATTGCCAGGCTGTCAAGGAGCAGTTACAGGCCTGCCAGTCCGACAGCAAGGCAACAAAGGAGACCTTGCAAAGGGAGGAGGAACAGAGGAGGATGCTGGAGGAGAGGCTGAATAGAATCCGGGACACAGTGAAACCCTTCTACACAATGGGTCCAGAAGGTATGTGCTCTGGGAGAGGAGAGAGGGCAGGGTCTGCTGTGAGGGATGGGTTGAAGTGAGGAGATGCTGGTGGCAGGGGTGCAGGGGCCTATCAGGGGGCCGTTGAGTTGTTGGGGGTAATGAACCAGAGCGGTAGCTGACATGAGCTGTGCAGCCTTAGCCAACAGGGAGAAGGATCAAGCCGCATACTGGATTTAGGGGGCCTCACCCAGCTCTAAGGCAGATCTGGGGGTGGGGGAGAGGAGGGCAGAAGCCAGCAAGGCAAACCACACTGTCCAAAGCAACAAACTCTGGTCATATTGAGCTTGATGTCAGTGTCAAGGATCCAGGAACCCTTTGAATTTGGATGTGAGATAGGTTGTTTGCACATATCCTAAAGAGAGGGTCTATAAGTTTAATTAGCTTTCGTTACGTATGAGATTCCCCAAAAGACTAACATTTGCTGATTGACAAAGTGCAGCCTGGTGGTGGACGAGGCAGCTGAAGCTCTCAAGTGTGGGTGACATAGCAAGGTGGGCAGGGATAACGTGGGAAGGGAACTGGGGTGAACTGTTCCTCCAGCCAGGATGTGGGGATGGCAGAGACGGACACATCAAAGCATCAAAGGCGAGGGGCTGCGGCAAAGCAGGCTGAGGTTGGAGGCAGGCTGCCAGGCCCAGGAGGACTGGCTGTTCATGGGCTGGTTATCTGTGGTTGTCGTCGGGCTCAGTCTAGCTCAGGGGCCCTCTGGATGCTCCCCCAACGCTTAAGACAGAGAGCGAGATTATGTGCAAACACTACTAGCCCCACCTTTTTACTTTCTTATTCTCTGTGATCCTCAGTTCTATACCAGTGCCACCCCCAACTCCCACAGCTGCACCCTAGAGCTCAGCATCCCAAACTGCTCTGCCCCTGAAAGGGTGGTTTCAGGGCCCCATTCTGGCCGCAGCTGCCCCTGCTCCAGGCTGTCCGCACACTTCTGCAACCTCACTGAGGTCTCCACCCCACCGACTCCCCTGCTTCCTCCCTTCCAGCAGCTGTCACCTGTCCTCACTTCTCTGTCTGCTCATCTTGCCCTTGGGAGTCCATCACTGCAACCACTCACTCCTTTGTTCTACCGCCCTCCTGGTGCACCTGACTGGCAGTGTCTGACTCTGGATGAACTCAACTGTCCACCTTGCCCATGCCTGCACCCAGGTGCGATCATTCTGCTTGTTGCCACTGCAACTCCAGTTTCGACCTCAGCTGGGGCCTCAGCACTGCCTGGTTACCTTGCTGTCCATAATGACTCCTTACCCTACTACCTCTCTCGCTGTCTGCAGATGCCCTGCTCTGTCAGAGAGCAGTTCCCCATCTCCCCCCACCAAGCCTGTATACCCATTTACACTTTTGCCAGCCCCATCCCTTGGAAGGATAATAGCAGCAGCTTGCTGGACGTTTTTCCTGAGCATCTCCCACACCCCTGTTCCACTCTTCATACTGCAGCCAGGGTGGGTGGCCCTTTAAAAACAAAAATATGATCCTGCCACCCCAGTGCAGAGCATGTCATTCCAGTTAGTTAGTCAAAAGTTACAGAATATATTATATGTCCAGCATTGTGCCCAGGCACTTGGGATGTAGCCAGTGAGCAAAATTCCTGTGTGTAAAATCCTACATTGACCTTCTCTTGTAATATAAAAACAAACAAAAAAAAATGCTTAACATGGCTTTCAAGGCCCCTGCCTACCTTCCAGCATGCCGCTCCATCTCTCTCCCTTTTCTATTTGGCCATGCCAACTCCTTTTCATTCCTTTAAATTACTGACTTACAAGGTGCAGTCTGGTGATGGGGCAAGGAGAATAACTCAAGCAGTGGAAAGAGGTGGGTTGGGATTAGGAGCACAGACTGGGGTGTGGGATGTTAAAGAGGGATATTTATTGTTTACGGCCAGGAAAAGAGAAAGAAGAGAAATTTTGAGGTGGAGGGAAGGGAAATAGAGTTTACATCAAGTGCTTGGCAATTTCAGCAAAATCAGGACCAAGGTTGTCTACCTGTGGGAGAGTGGAGAGGGAAGGAGGTGGCTCGCAGCTTGAGGAGTGTGGGGCAGTTTTCGGTATGCAGTGTGGGATGCTTTCAAGAGCTAAGGAGGCGAATGAGAGTCCTATGGAGCACTTATGGGGACCCAGGTGAGGTTAGCCAAAATCGGGGGTGGGGTGGGGTGAGGGGGGGGACTGTTATTGTTCAGAAATTGGGGACCATACCATCAGCCCTATTAAAATAAACCTCCCAGGTTGTTAAGGAGTAAAGTCGTTGAATGTTAAAGGCCTCTACTAAGTATGCACAGGCTTGGCATTTCCAGAAAGATTGCCAAGATCAAGGACCGGAAGTCAATGGCAGAGCTGAGATTAGACCTAGGGGAGCCGTGTTAGCAACTAGATTGCTGAGAAGTCACTTCTATTCCAAGTGTTGACATCTCCCTTCTGGATCTGGGCTGTGCTGTCACACTCTTTCTGTTTTTCAGACACCTGCTGTCCTCTGGGATGGATACTGATGGAGAGGAAATGCTTTTACATCTCACCTGTTAGGAGAAATTGGGAGGAGAGCAGAAACTATTGTAATACCCTGTCCTCCAGCCTGGCCATAGTTAGTGACTATTCTTATTCAGTAAGCATACCTTTATTCACAGACCGTCGTGGGTACTTGTAGGTGAAGGGACAAAGGTCATCAGGAATGGCAGTGCCCACATGGCATGCATGCCGTGGTGTGCATTCCTTTTCCATGCAGCTGGTCAGCACAGTGCTCCAGGCGGCCCCTACTGATCAGAGCTGGCATGAGAGTTGACTTCTGAACCATCTTTACTTTTACCTGTTTCTCAGTTCAGCTTTCTGGCCAGCATTCTGGGCTAACAAAGTCTTTGACAGTCAAGACTCCTCAGGCAGAGAGGCCCCAGACCTGGTGGGCTGGACTGGAGGGACTGTGTCCTTGCAACCACAGCAGCCCACAGAATGACTCCCCTCCAAAGGCTGGTGGAAGTTCTTATCCCCGCTGAGGCGAACTGAAGGCTGAGCCCGCATCTGCATGGCGGCACTCAGAGGGTACAGGGACGGGTCATTGATGAACTGTGTCATGCACCGAAGATGGGCACAGTCCTCTCGTCAAGCTCGTAGGTCTCCCTAGAGCACTCATTTTCTTCCCTCAGCCCAGGTCCCCTCTTTTGCACCCTCACCCCCATTCCACTGCTGTTCCTCACTCTCCACACACCTTGGTGTCTCTGAATCTCCCCTCAGGGTTATCGCAACAGCCTCTTATATAAATTTTTGGCACAAGTTAGTTGGTCTGATTCATACTGGATTGACGGCAGGCCAAAGGATGGGCATTGGACTAATGGTAAAGGCTCTGGGTAAGTTTATTAGGACTTTTGGGTATTTTTAACTTCATAATTCCTTCATAGAGACAATAATATTTCCCTGTAGGTCCTGCTCTCAAACTTTTCACAAATCAGTATTGTAATTGCCTACTTGTCCATTTCCTCTGTGGACAAGTAGGACATTCTTATTCTCTAGTCTATCCCCAGTACCTAGCGGTCCCTGGCACATGCTTTTTAAAAAAAATTTATTACTAAGTTGAGAACTATGTCATCTTCCTCTCAGAAGAAGCTAGGGCTTCACAGCTGAAGAACCGACATTCTAACTTCCTGTCTGGGGCCACTTGGGGCACTAGAGTTGTCCCAGGAAAGCAAGGGGGCAGCAGGGTAACTTTGAGGTTCAACCCCAGGGGCCCTGAAACAGGATGGTCACCTCCTATGTTCCTTAACTGGAGTTTCCACCTTAAGACCTTGGGTGACTTTTCCCTCCCCTGGTCCTGAAGCCTTTTCAGGTTGGAGTCTAGACATCTGTCCCTGAAATATACCCAAACATGGCCTAAGGTAGGTAGGCTGAGTTAGGACTTGGGCTAGGTTTTATGTAGGGCACAGGCAGCAAACACAAGGCCTGCAGGCCGAATCTAGCCCTCCACCTTTTTTATCCGGCCTGGCACCTTGTTTCTACCCGGCAGCAGTGCGAGCTCTCACTTAACTGTTAAGGAACAGTTACATTTATAGTCTGAAAATTACATTCGGCCCTATGAAGGCAACTGCGAGGCTGATGTGGCCCCCGGTGAAAATGAGTTTGACACTTCTGATGTAGGGCAAGGGGAGAGGAGGGATGGAAGGGAAGGGGCCAGAGCTTATCCCAGTTCTGTTTCATCCACTCTTTAGGTATCATCCTCAAAATCAACACTGTCGCAAGATTCCATACAGCTGGTCAGCAACCCAGGATTGTACTATTTCTCTTCCCTGCATCTGTGAGAGGGAAGTTCTTAAGTGTCCAGATCAGCACTGAGCTGAGTAAGTGTGCGTGATGGGACTGGGGCTTGGGAGCCTGCGGGGACAGGACCTGCTCCTGGGAGTGGGTCATGTCCATAGCCTCCAGGAGCCTGGTATGCGTATAGGAGGGGCCCTGGCACAGGGAGAGGGGGAGGGAAGGCCTGGGGCTGACGGAGGCTGCTCACGTGGCCGTCCTGGGAGCTGGGGTGAACTGGAAGAGGGTTCTTAGTGATACTAAGCTCATTGATAACTTTTGTGTTCCAGATACTCACACCAGCAAGAGCCTGTGCCCCTCATCCCTAACTCGCAGCCACAGGTCCCGTGATGATCTCCCTCCAGAGTTCCCTCGCTCTGCGGGGATGGTGCCTGGCCAAGGACTGATGTAGCCCAACACTTTGCCTGCCTGAAATCCTGCCCCAGAAACTGGACTATTCTTGGGAAAAAAAAGGTGCTGAAACCTCAGGAAAAGATTTTGGCCTCCTCAAGAACCTCTCATAGTGGAATGGGGGGATTGGGGGAGGAGGGCGCATGGCCTGAGCGGATAGGGGCAGCCCGGAGCCAGCCAGGCAGTTTTATTGAAATATTTTTAAATAATTCGCATGTGTTAGTCTCGTGTGTCAGCAATGCTCTGTGATCCCCACGGGAGAGCGAGCCCAGGGATGGATAGGAAATGTCTGTCCCTCGAGTCCATGCTGAGGTTCCCCCATACGGAGCAGCTGGTCAGCCCATCTGGGGCTGGCCCTGTCCAGCACGTGCGCTGTCCTCACAGGGCATCCTGAAGGCCAGCGTTGGAGGCCCCACTGCTAAGAGCGTGCCCCAGGCAGCTGAAGGCTGGGTGTGGGTGGCTTGGCATGGTGCCCTCGGTGGCAGAGGAGACTGCCCGCCTCACAGTTCAGGTTGTGGTAGCGGGCAACAGCTGGTGTGGGGCGGGGGCACATGGACAAGAAGCCAAAGCTGAAGGGGCCCAGGCAGCAGCCCGGGCAGGGTAGTCCCTCGTCGGGCTCCCGAGGAGCTGAAGGGGGCGGCGAGGGTTCTGTCCGCTCCAGGGCCGCTGCCCGGGGCAGGCTATGCTGGGCCCGGTTCCAGGGCTCCCCGGCCCAGCCCTGTGGGGAGTTCACCACCACAGCTGGGGGGTTGTTGTTAAGGGGAGGTCCTGATCTAGGGGACCAGGGCTGGGAGGCCGACGAACAAGTGCTGATGAAGTTGTCTGTGGCCACGGCCAGGGGCAGCTGGAGAGCCGGTCCTGGGGGTTCTGGCTCAGGGCTACTGCCCTCACACTCCATCCTCTCTTCAGCTGCGGGGCCCACAGCAGCGGGGCCAGGACCTGGCAGTACTGTCTCCATACGTCGGGGGAGCTCAGGGGATGACGGTAATGAGCGGCAGCGACGGGCAGGTGTCCCGGGCTGGAGTAGGGTCTCTGGAGTGGTCACCAGGGGCAGCTGGGTGGGGAGCAGTGGTGATGGCGGCACAAGGGGCAGGGGAGCGACTGGCTTGCTAGGCGTGTCCAGGAGCTTGATCTTGCCACCCCTGAGGTCTTCCCGTAGTGAGAAGGGGTTGACTCGAGTCAGATTGTCCCCCCAGTTGGGGGGTGATTCTGGTGATGGAGGCAGGAAGAGGTCTGACCGGCTTCGGGAGAGCCGGGGGTCTGGCCTGGGAAGCGTGGCAGAGGGACCCCCTCTTGGAACAGACCCTGTCGACAGAGAAGTCTGCAATCACTGTTCTCAGCACTGATAGCTTCTCGAAGTTGTCATTATTCACCAGTAGGCTGGTGGGACTAGAGCTTACAAAAGGGAGTCTGATGGCGTGCTTTGGAAAGGGAGAGATATCACCTCCAGCCACTTTTTACCTTTTTTCTTCTTTCCTTCCTTAAGGCTCTAGAATTAGAAAACTATCTTCTTTGAAATGTCTTCTCACTCCACCTCCATCCCCAGCCTTTTCAACTAATAAATATTCTTAGCCTCCCCCAGATAGTTCCCTGAGCTCTAAGGCAAAAGGACTCCAGTTAGGTCAAGGTCATGCTCACTTACCCTGATTGTGTGTCAGGGGAGCCCTGGTGAGGGGGGCTGGCTCAGACAGTTGCTCTAGGATCCATTCCAGGTGATGGGTGATTTCGGTGAAGGGTGCACGAGCGCTAGGTTCCATCTGATGAGTAGAGACAGGGCAGCTTCACTCAGTGCTCCTAAAGTGGGTCCCTGAGTTCTCCCGTCACCTGGGACGGGACAGCCTTGGCAGCTGACAGACAGGGTGGAGGGCAGGGAGGGTGAGGCTCTTACACTGCAGCAATGGATGGCCAGCAGCAGGAAAGGCAGTGGGCAGTCATCCCCTACCAGGGTCCGGAAAGCGGGCACATCCAGGCCAAAGTCCTGCGGGGACAGAAAGGAGGGACCCCAAGTCAGCGTTCCTCAGGTTCTCCTAATCAGGATCTTAAGGTCCAGGGAACCCTTCTTGGTTATAAGTTGCCCAGTCTGGAGTCCCTCCTGTTCAAACCTGGAGACATCATTCACCTCGGTACGGGGTAGGTAGTCAGGGTCCGCAGGTACTCGTGCGATGAGCTCACAGAGGATAATCCCAAAGGCAAAGACATCGGCCTGGGGGTAGGAGATAATGTCAAGGGCAGATAATGTTATGGCAGTTTTCATGCCATAAAATTCTGTTAGAATGTGTCCGAATTCATGGGGGGGGAGTGTCTTGACAGTTTCCATGTGTTGGAGGGGTACCTGTCAGGGGCAAGGGGAGGGGGTCTTAGGGCCCTCCTAAGTATCTGGTAGGGCTGTTGAGGAGCGTGGGGTAGGGACTTACAAGAGTATCTCAAGGGTCTCTGGATCTGAAGGGTTGATGTCTCACCTTCTCATCATAGAGCTCACCCCGCAACACCTCTGGAGCCATCCAATACGGTGAACCCACCACAGCCAATGGCTCCTTCCTTTCCCCTTCCCTGCAGGGCAGGGGCAGAGTGGTCAGAAGCATCCCACTCACACAACCTCCGCAAACAAAACAGCATGAGGTCAGCCCCCTCCCCGCCCCAGGGGAAATGTTCCTGGGGGCTTCAGTTAGATAGGGGCCTTCTGGGAGGTTTTGGGGGGCAGGGGCATTCAGCTCACCTATACACAGGAATCTTCTCAGCCAGCCCAAAATCTCCCACAACGGCTGTGAAGCTTCGGTCTTCCCGACGGATCAGACAGTTCTATTGGACACATAGAGTATCCCCACGCTTATCACTCTCTGCTCTTCGATATCCCAGTCTAAACCCAAAGCTCTGTCACTCCAGAATAACCCCGACCCTCGCCCGGTTTTCCAGTACACCCCAATCTTGCAACATCATCCATCACTCCAAACACAGAGTGGTACTCAACCCCTGAGAGCACACCCCCTCACCCCAGTCCCCCATTCCCCATTGGCTTGCTTCTCTAACGTCTTAACGTATGTATTACCCACATTCCAACATCATGGGCTAGTTACAACCCAATAGTCTCAAATCCCCCTTCATACCTCGACCTCTCTGGCCAGCCTACCTTGGATGTGAGGTCTCGGTGGAATACACCTTTGGCATGCAGGTATCGCAGGCCATGGGCGATGTCCAGAGCCAGGCGGAGCCTGACAGGCCAGGATAGGGGTTCAGGGGAGCTGAGCAGCTGTTCCAAGGTCCCTCCATTCATATACTGGGGCGTAGTGGGAGGAGAAGGAGAATGAATATCAGGGTTTCATTCTTCTAGTCTCCTACTTATAAGCCAGGGGACACTCAGGAGGATCACAAAGGTCAGAAAGGGAAGGGCCTGTGCTCTAAGATCCCAAATTCATCTTCTAGGGCTGTCCTATGCAATACATGTGCAACTATTTAAAATTAAATTATTAAATTTAAATAAAATTAAAAGTTCAGTTCCTCAGACTAGCGAGAGTTCCAATGCTCCCTAGCCACATGTGGCTAGTGGCTCCAGTTTTGCACTGCACAGATACAGAACATTTTCATCACTGCGGAAAGTTCCGTGGGACAACACTGTTCTAGAGAATAGAGGGTGAGAACAGCTGAGGCCTTTTATTTGTGGTTTGCTCAAAGGGAAGTTTGGGGAGGACTCCGTGGGAGGTCCTGCTGCCTCTCACTATTCCTCTATAGAAGCACCAGGTCATGACTCTCCCCTTGCCGGTAGTGGGTGTCCCCCCTTCCTGGCCCATCCTCACCTCTGTAAGAGCGTGCAGCTGCCCCTGGTGCACACAGACCCCCATGAATCTGGAAGAGGGGAGAGAAGATAGGAGGGTAGACTGTAAGAGACTCAGCTTCTCCGCAGCTCCCACTCTTCCAGCGGAATCTTTCCCCTTTTCCCAGCAAGCTTCCCAGCAAGCGACTGGAGCCGCTCACCTTAAGATGTTGGGGTGCCGGAGCCGGTTCATTAGCTGCACCTCCCGTAGTGTGTTTCCCCGGTTACTGGGGAGCCTGTTCATTTTCAGCACCATGACTTGCCCTGACTGTCGGTGCCGAACCTGGGGGTGTCAGGGGAAGGTGAGTCCCGACAGGCAGGACGAGTCGTCCGCGTCCCAGTCCCCTAGCTCCAGCCTCTCGTCTAAGGCTTGGTCCCGCCCCTTTGCTCTCTCTACCGGTCCTACCTTGTAGACCTCAGAGAAGAAGCCGGCCCCGATCTTCTCCGCGCAGTGGAAATCGTCCACGCGCGCCAGGCTAGACACAGCGCTGCGGAGAGCCCGGTAGGAGGAGGGGCGGCCCCGGCCTCCACCCGCGCCCCCCGGCCCCGGGGGCCCCTCCCCCGGCGCCTCTCCGGGCCCGGGCCCAGGGCCCCGTTGTGGGGGACGTTCCCCGGCCATGGCCGGGCCCCCAGCCCGGGCCTGCCTCACATGGCAGGGTCCCCGGGGCCCGGGCAAGCCGTGCTTGCCATGGGCGCGGGCCCAGCCCGATCCGCGGCGCCGGGACTCCCGCTCCCGCCTAGGAGAATGGAAGATTTGCCCAAGATCCTGGGCCCGCCCCCGCCGCGCCGGCTTGCTGGGCCCGGGTGGACGCCGCACCGCTCCGCTCCGCGCTGGCCTGGGCCTGAGCCGGGCGGTGGCGGTGGCGCTCCCGGGCGCCGGGGGGCAGTCAGGCTCCGGGCAGGCGGAGGCTGTCGGGCCGGAGGCGGCGGCGGGCTGCTAGGCTTCACTGCCGGAGCTCAGGCTCCGCGGCCTGCTGGGGGCGGGGCTGAGCAGGGCCACTGCTTAACTCCTTGGAGCCCGGCCCCCAGGCAGCGGCCACGCCCCCTCAGGTACGCAACCCCAACCGCCGGCGGTGACGCCCTAGGCGAGTGGGTCAGGGCGTCGGGGTCAAATAAATTCAGGCTCGAGCTGAATAACTGAAGAGAGTTAAGGGCTGATGGTGCGTACGTGCAGGTCATATGTCTTTTGCTGCTCGAGGACTCTCTTCTCCCCTCCCACTTCAGGTCGCTGTCGGTTGAGGGCCGGGCTTGGGAAGCCGCCGGATTTCTGGGCTCCATGGACCAGCAGGGCAAAAAATTAGACCCCTCATGGCCAATCAAAATCTAAGGCAGCCCAGCAACCTGCCCGCCTTCCTGGCCTCCACCCGGGCCCACCCTACCTATTCCCCAGGTCTCCACCCCTGCACCATAAACCTCTGGACTCCCTGAAACTTCCTTCCTGGGAGGCTGTGAGCCCTTGGCCAGCCCATCCCTAGTGTGGTCCCAATTCCTCCTCACTTCATCCCATCTCCCTCGAATAAAGTTCAAATTTCAGAGCCTCCTCCTCATAACACAGCCTTGACCTTACTATTTCGTCCAAATGACCCTTTTTCTCATAAGAGAAATCTCCACCTGCAGGAAAGCCTCTCCTTCCACGAGATCCCACCCCTTGGCCAAGCTCCGCCCCTCAAGGGCCCCTTCCCCTCCAAGACCCCTCTCTTCCTCAGTGAGACACCTCACTCCCTTCAGAGGGACCTTTCCTCAGTGTCACACTGCTAACGTCAGTGTGTACCAGAACCTGTCAATGCCTCCTCTGTGTGTTCCACGCAGTGTGACCCCACATCTGAGTGACTCCACCAGTCATTGTGACCCCTCCTCTTAACGTGACTCCTCCCCTCAGTGTGGCCCAGCCCTTATTAGTGTGACCCCTCTCAGCACGTTCCGCCCTCCGTCAGGTAGGAATCCGATCTGCCTCCCTCAGGCCGGAGGAGGAGCTGCAGCAGGCGTCTAAATCGGCGCAGAGCCCTAAAAGCGCACTCAGCGTTTCCGGACCCTGTGCCCTCGCCGTACCCGGCGCTTCCGGTTCTCTTCGGGTTCGTCCGGCGAGATAGCCAATCATCGCCACGAGCGAGGGACTTCGCTGGATCCCGGCAACAGTTCCCAGACGAGCGGAGGGGGCGTCGCCGAACGCCACCTAGCGGTGGGATGGAGGGCGGTGGAAGTGGAGGCTTCGGGCCTCCAGAATGAACTGGCTACGACAGAGCATGAAAGAGCGCGGCCGAGTCTCTTCAAAAATTCCAAAGTACTGTATTTCTTTTTCTGTGGTAAGCTGAAAATTAGAGACCTGTCCCATGTTTATGAGAGCTGGGGCGAAGTACTTTGTCAAGAGCTAATAAGAAAAGACTAATTAAAGACAGTCTTAAATTATAAAGGATGCATTAGGGCAGGGAGAAGGTCCGATGCTGTCTCGGTGAGGTTTTGCCCAAGTTTGGAGGGAATGCCTGGAGAGATTCACAGCCCTTCCAGAGCCAGTGGTGACGGGCCAATCTGCAGAAGCCTGTGCCTGGATCGTGTACATCATATTCTTCCAGAGGCAATTTGGTCTCAGCAAAACAAACTCATTCGTCACTGTAAATTAATGTTAACATCTACAACAATTTAATTTGTAAATTTGCTTTCTATGGAAGTATGAGATCTGAAAATATTAGGAATTAATGTCTCATTTTGTTTAAGTAACATGATAATAGGTACTTGAATGGACACGTGTATTACCCTTTATCCAAGTTTGAGAATTACTACAGTTGATAGTAATTCCAAGCTGAGGCACCAGGTTCCTGCTTAAGAAAGATAACTGTGGTGGTTGCGTGGAGCAGGGAGCCTGGTTAGGAAGGAGGCTCTGACAAGGATTCAGTTAGGAGAGGATGAGGGACTGAAGTAGAACAGGGATCATAGGGAAGAAGAAGAGGAAACACCCAAGTGGTATGGGAAAACTTGCTGACTGATGAGTATCCAAAGTCAGTCCTGTGGAGGTGAAAGAGCATCAGCGAGGATAATTTTTAAATTTCTAGTTTAGGTGACGGGGAGGTATCGACTGAGACAAAGAATCCAGGAGGAGGAAAGGGTGAATGAGGAAGGTAAATGATTGCCATAAACGAAGAGGCGATGGTAAAACTATGAAAGTAGATGCCATCATCTGAGTAGGGCATACAGAGGGAGAAATAGGCTGGCAGTGGAATCCTGGGGCAAACCAACATTAAAGGATGGAAGGAGGAAGAGAAGTCCATAAAGGACACTGAGAAGAAACAAGCTGAGAGTGGGAAGAGAATCTAGAGACTCTGGTGCCACGGAATCCAAGAAATGGAGAGTTTAGGAAAAATGGAAGAATGAACAGCATTAAATAGTAGAGATAAGTTTTAAATGTTCCTTGAGTTAGGCTATTAGAAGATCCTTTTGTTGCTTTTCAAACTTTTTATGATGGAAAATGTCAAAAGTAAAAAAAGAACACACAGGGAATAGAACAATGGACCCTCCTTTCCTCTGGGTGAGTAAGACCATTTTGAGACCCGGCCTCAGTTGTGCTGTTGCCATCAGTGGCATGTCCAAGTAAAACCACCAACTTTCATGTGCCTTTTATGCCAGTGGTTCTCCAATGATCAACTCATGGCCAATTTTTTTTCATTTATTCCTCTGTCCCTCCTCCCCGTGCCCAGTTATTTAATGCATATTTCTGACATTATGGTCTTTCACTGATAAATATTTTAATGTTACCTCTAAAAGATAAGGATCCTTCTTTAAAATAAAATCACAGTGCCATCGTCACACCCGAAAAAAAGAACAATTTCTTTATATCATCAAGCATCTGGTTTACACTTCCCTCATTGTTTTATAAATATTTACCATATTTTGCTGTGTAGAGTCGAAAGACTATCAAATCTACTACATGCTGGCATCCACGTTATGCCCATGGCAAACCGGGCTAATCTGTAGTACTTTTTCCTGCTAAGCCAGGACCCTATTCCAGAAACCTCACAGTATTCCTCTTATAAGTGATGACGATTAATTGGATTTAGTGCAATAAGCAAGACCTGTTTGCCAACCCTGGCTCTCGCTTTTCTCTTTGATGTAATTAGATAATGACTAATGTAATTAGATAATTTATCATGTTTCCATTCCTGGTTTACTAAAAATCCTTTTTAAAAAATCACAAATGGGCAGGCATTTCATTGTATAAAAGATTTCCCCAGCATCTGTCAGGGCGATCAAATGGCTTTTATTTCCATTGGTTTATTTATGTACTAATGTTGATAGATTTTCTAATTCAATCATTATTGTAGTCCTGGAGAATATCCTGCTAGTCTTTTTTTAAAAAATATGTATTTTTAGAAAGAGGGGAAGGGAGGGAGAAAGAGAGAAAGAGAAACATGTGCGAGAGAAACAAGGATCGGCTGCCTCCAGCACGCATGTGCCCTGGGGACCACAACCCAGGCTGGGAATCAAACTGGTGACCTTTCACTTTGCAGGACGATGACCAACCAGCCACCTGGGCCACACCAGTCAAGGCTCCTCTGTAATAACTTTTGTGGGATTTGTTTGCTGATGAATTTGCTAGGTCTTGAATTAAGTTCATACTACTTTTGTAGATTAAATGAATGTGGGCTTTTTTGTAGTGGGCATGTATTTGACCACTTTCACCTTTCTTCTGCGGTTATTCAGGTGTTCAGTATCGTTTGGGGTTGATTTTGGTTTATATTTTCCTAGACAATATTAATCTCACTGAGGTTTTCTAGTTTAGTCATAGATAGTTTCACTTAATATTCTTTTAGCATTAAAAAAATTCTGTGTCTGTTTTTAGCCACTTCCTCATGCCGTTAGGGGGTTTGAATAGTTTTTTTTTTCTCTTTTGGCTAGCTGTGTCAATTTGCTTATTTTGTTATTTTTTTTTAAGACAGCTCTTATAATTATTTTAGTTGGTTTTCTGATTTATTGGTTTTTATTGTTAGCTTCATAAATTCTTCCTCCTATTTTCATTAGCTTATGATGTTCCTCTTTCTAGCTCACTGAGTTGACTGCTTAGTTATTAGCTAGTTAGCTTAGTGGTTTTTTAGACCTGTGTACCTGGCTGGTCTGTCTGTAGCCTGTTCTGCCGAAGCCCTCATGGTCTATACTGCAGGACCCGCCCTCCCTAGGCAGAGCTGGTTGATAAGGGAGGCCGGTTCGTCTGCTGTGAGATGCTTGAGAGAAATAAATGTGGTACAGATATTAGTGCTTATCTGTATTTGCTTCTCCTTCCTTCCTGGCACATAGAAGTATGTACTTCTGTGCTGCAAAATATTAATAATGGGTAAATCCAGGTAAATATTATACTTTTATTATAATTTTCTATATATTAAGGTTTTTTCCAATTTAAGATGTTCAAGAAAATATATATCAGGGCCCCTAATTCCCAGAAAAATGTGGTTGGGGTTGGATATGAATATTTTAAAAACCTCACTCTAGGTGATTCTGACAACCTCTGTTACTATTCTAAACTCTTTTCCTTTCTTTCCAAACTTCAAACACTGACTTTCTAGTTATTTAGCGCTTAGCATAAGATAGGCGCAAGGCCAACTGCTCTTTATGCGTCATCTCATCTCTTATCCTACTCACTGAGGTAGTGATGTTAGTTCCTCATATTATCGTTGGGAAAACTGACACTCAATGAGATGAATTTGGCAAAAGCTTATATTTCTAGTAAAACTAGAAGCTGAACAGGTGTGTTTTTTTTGAAAGATTTTATTTATTTTTTTTAGAGAGAGAGGAGGGAGAGAAGGAAAGGTCGATGTGAGAAACACCTATCTGTTGCCTCCCGCACGTGCCCCAACCAGGGGCGGAACCGCAACCCAGGCACATGCCCTGACCGGAAGTCAAACTGGCCACTTGGCTAGTTTGGAACATCACTTTGCTTGGCTGGATGCTGCCCAACCAAGTGAGCCACACTGGTTAGGGCTAAATGTTTTTTTTTTCTCACTTTTATGTTGTGATGCCTTTGGCTCTAAGTAAAAGAAAACTTAAAGTCACCTAAACAGTAATGAAGTTATTTCACATTAAAAGGTGGTTATTTCAGTGGCTCTACATTACCATCAGGGACCCAGGCCTTTCTACCCTACTATCCACCCTTGATGTATTCAGACTGTGTCCCCAGATTAGGTTTCACGATGCCTGCCAAAGTTCCATCATCACATCTGCAGAACTTCTAGAGGCAAGAAAGGACATTATTCCTTCTTGCACATCTCTTGCTATTTAATTTGCTGTGCCTCTTTCTTAAGAGCAAAGAAACTCCTCCCAGGAGCCTCCCTCATCCTGGACTCCCTCTCATGTTGCCAGAATGCCACAAGCTTATGCTAGCCTATCATTGGCAAGAGGTATGGGACCACTATGATGGGCTTAGACTAATCAAGACTCACTCCTAGGGCTGGTTCCAGGCTTTCCTGAAGTTGCTGGCTGCTTGGCCAAAATAAATTAAGATTCCGTTAGGAAAGATGGAGATGGGGGTAGGGAATAGGCATGAGGTATGCAACCAGTAGTGTCAGAATCCAAATGTCCAGTTACAGAATCCAAATGTCCAGATTGTTAACCTTGACACACTGCTGCTATTCTGGGTTCTCCCCTCAGCTCCCACCCTCACTCTAGCACAGGGATTTTCAAGCAGTGTGCTGCAAGAATTTTTAAAATACTCAATACCTGACTTTAGTCTGGATCACAGACCACTTTTCCCTTAGATTGTCAAATAAAAAAATGACAACAGCCAACACAACAATAGCTGTCTGGTATCAATGAATCAAAATTACACCTATTTTTTTGGCCTGATCGGCAGAATTTTAGTAGTTTAGTTGTGCCATGAGATGGAAAAGGTTGGATATCACTGCTCTAACAGATTTCTTTAATTGTGAGCCACGTCTCCTACAACTCCAGCTCTAAGCGACACATACCCAGGCTGTCCTTGGCAGAATGGTGGGGAATAGGAACTGTATTTCTCAGGACCTAGTGCTCTTGCGCAGTTCCTCAGGAGTCAGGGATGTACGCTTGTCAGAGCCGGCACTGTTGTGGGGTGGGGCGGAGAGCAGAGGCTCCTCGGGAAGGCGGGCTGGCCTGGCCTTGACTGCACCCCGGAGCTGAGTTCTCATCATGCTCCCCACTGTCTCTGAGATCTCGTCTTCCTGGTCTGCTCTTCTCTTGGGATCTAATTTCCTTTCTTAACATATTCTAATTTGCCCCCTAGTCTTAAATCCCAACATTACCCTCATATTTCTTTCCTCGGAACTCTCACAGTAAAATACCTGTGTCCACTGGATTTGCTAACCATTCATTGACTTCCTATATGTATTAGAAGCTTAGAGACAATACTAGACAATAGGGTAGGAAATTAAATTTTAGTAGCTGCGTGCTAAGTTCTTTCACACACACTATCTGACTTTATCACTAACAGCACCTTGGTAGGTTAGGTTATCTTGACCTTCACATTGGAGGTTAGAGAATTCAGAAGGTAAGTCACCTGAGCAGAGAAGGTAGGGTCATCTCGAGGGCACAGGCTGTTAGGAGCCCATGACTGCCCGGCCCATGCCCATGCTGTCCCCTACAAGCATCTTTATGCTTACAAGGATCTTTGCATACCTTGATTGGAGCCTCACAAACTGCATTTGTTCTGGAGTAGCAGGGTGAGGAGTAGTATCCGAGTTTTATAAATGGTAGTGAGGTTGCGAGATACCAAGTTACTTGCCCCAAGTCATGTGAAGCTTAGCTTTTCTGACTCCTATGTAGTACACATGCTGCCGCCATGAAGCTGCCCCGCGGGGCGTGGCATATGTGTTGAGTGGGTGGTGATCCAGATTATGGTAGGTGTGCAATAAGTAATTGTCAAGTTATACCATTGAAAATTAATAATGTCACTGCCTAGATGTCTCTAGTTTCCTTTTTCCCCTGTCACCTCTCCTCTGGGTTCTCCTTGGAGATCCTCTTTTCCCAAGAAAGTCCATCACCTTTAATCAAGACAAAGAGCAGAATCCACATCTCCTCAGGCAGGTGCTGCGATGAGGGCTTAAGAAGGAAGGGCCCTCTTCCAAGACACAGCTGAATGGACCTGACAGTTTTTGCTCTCCCTCTTCCCACCTCAGGCCTTCCTTGGGTCCTGGTGTGGGGAGGCTGTACTGAGACTTTCCCCTGCCCCCAGGTGGCAAAACTGCATTTGTTCTGGAGTAGACAGGCCCGTGAACCTCTGCTTTCCTGTTCCACTGGCCTTGGCCTTGGCTGTCATCACACTAGTACCCTGCCCCATCTCTCCTCCCTTAATCCCGCCCCCACCTCTGGCTCCACCCGACAGCCCTGGACACAGTATACACAGCCCAGAGCCTCTGTCCAAAGGGAAACAAAAGGGACTGCCTGGGTTCCCATGGCTGTGGCCAGCACCTTCGTACCGGGGCTGAACCCTCAGAATCCTCATTATATCCCGGGGTAAGGCTTCTACCAGAGCACAGCCCTGCTTGCTTCTGGGAATAGGGGTGTAGGGATATAGAAGTTGTGCCACCTAGATCTCGGGGGCCAAGTGGACATACCTGTACAGGAGGCACAGGGCTGGGGTATCTGTGGTATTGGACAGAAAAGAGAAAGCAAGGGATAGTGGTTGCTGGGCCTGCCACAAAGCTTTGTGTTGTCTTCTCCATGGTAACAGGGTAACAGCAGAGGGGAAGGGTTGAAAACCCAGAGAGAACTGAGATATGCCTGCTCCAAATGCATACACAGCTGAGTCCAGAAAACATAGTGCTTCCGAGGTCTCTGCTTCTGTTTCTGGGGATGGTGGGGCGGGGGGTTGTAGAGGTGAGTGGGCGAGTCCTGTGCTACAGGTACACGGGACACTGCCCACTACTTCGGTTCAGCATGGGCCAGACCTATGGGCACATGACCGGTCAGCTACTTCGAGGAGCTCCTGGCCTAGCCTGGCCCCCGGCTTGTCGAGTTCTCCTACCTCCCATTCAGCCTCCAAGATCTCCCGAGGTTCCCAGGGGAAGCCCGCCTGTCAGGCGTGGGCATAAAAGGCTCAGTTGCAGCATGATCCCTGGCTACACAGGTATGTACACAAACGTGAACAGATGCCCATTCCAGAATATGTGTCCCAAACACTAACGGAAACCTTCCTTGCCCCCTACCGGCCTAGGTTTTGTCCCCCAGGCACAGTTCATCTTCGCCAAGAACTGCAGCCAGGTCTGGGCTGAGGCTCTGAATGATTTTACCCAGCGAGGGAAGCAGGAGCTACCAAAGGAGGTCAAGGGAGAAGACGTGGAAAAAGACCAAGAGCCAAAGCCTAAGTCAGAGCTGGAGGAGGAGCCAGAGCTGGGGCAGGAGGCGGGACAAGTAAGACCCAGAAGGCTGGGGTGGGGGTGAGGCTGCGAGGCAGTGTGGTGGGAGTGGGGAGCTTCACCTCTGTACCGGCTGGGGACACGGGCCTAACTGCCCGCTCCACTCCCTGGGAGCTTGTGTTAGAGCACAGGGCCGAATCTGATAGCCTACTTTTCTTCTGTTGACTTCCCCCACAAGGCTTCCCCCTATTCCATGGATGACAGAGATCCTCACAAGTTCTTCATGTCAGGTGAGGGGAGGTGGGTAATGACCAGGGGTGTGGGGAGGCCCCCAGGACGTCCTGACTCAGTGTCCACATCCCTCAGGTTTTACTGGTTACGTGCCCCGTGCCCGTTTCCTCTTCGGCTCCAGCTTTCCTGTGCTCACCAACCAGGCACTGCAGGAATTTGGACAGATGTACTCACGGGACAAACCCCAGACGGGACTCAAACATCTCCCCCCACTTTCAAGGACCTACCCTCAGAACCTGGGCCTTTTACCTAACTATGGGGGCTATGTGCCAGGTGAGGATGGCCCCCGAGGGGGGCTTTAGGGCCTGGGATGAGTGTGTGTGTGTGTGTGTGTGTGTGCATGTGTGGTGGGTAGAGGTGGTTTGGGGGTTGGAACTAATAAACGTGGGGGACCTTGGATCACGTGGTTCCACTTTAGCATTGGGCAGAAAAGGAGACTGAGGTGGCTCACAGCGGGGAATCGGGACCGGATTTGGGAGGGCAGCTTGGAGGGCCTAATCAACTGGCCGAGAAGTAAGTGACAGCTTTTCTTGGCCGCACAGGGTATAAGTTCCAGTTTGGCCGCACATATGGGCATCTCACCCATGATGCTCTGGGCCTCAGCACCTTCCAGAAACAAGTCATGGCGTAGGTACCTGGACTGCAAGTTCTCTCTTCCCTTTTCATCTTTCCCAGCCATCCTTTTGGAAGAGAGAGAGATGGGCTGGAGGGTGGGGGGAGGCACAAAGAGAAAATAGTTTGGAGGCCAAGCACCTTTTAATTATTAATAGGTGTAATAAATAAATAAATAAATACATAAACAGAAGCCTGGGCTCCTCTTCCCTCCTCTGACTGCCAGGCACTGGCCGCAGCCTATTTACATCTGGGAACTTCGGGATCTGCCCCTGGACTACCACCGACGTCATCACTGCTCGGCCTAGGGGGCCTTGCACCCATGGGAAGGCTGGCCCACATGGGCTGGGGAAATGCTGGCAGCCCAGTGCTGCGTCCCTTCCCTCCTTCCCCAGGTGGAGGTCTAGACGAGGTCACTGGCACAGTTAAGGGGGAGTAATTAATACTGAGCACAGGGATAAGTGGCCCAGCTCTCAGTCTGCTCTCTGTAGACAAGCCCGAGGGCTTGGGAAGGGCTCTCAGGCTCTGAGTCTGGGGGTTATGAGGGTCCCTGAGGCCACCAGCATGCACAGGGCCTCAGTTTTGGCTGCTTCCAGGAGTTGAACTTGGAGTTGGGGTCAAAGTCACGTAGGCCAGAGGCACCAGGCCAGTGTCAGGGCCACGACTACAGCGCAGCCAGTCTCCTCCGGCTGGCCCCAGCACTCGAAGGGTATCTCCCTTGTGGAAGCTCAGCTGTCCAGGGCCTGTGGCCAGATGGTGGCACAGTGCCTTTACTTCGCTGGGAAAACAACAAATGGAGGTCAGAGGATCCCCACCCAAAGCCAAATCCAGCCCCCAATCCTTCTGTCTCCCAGGGCTCACCACGGAGGCTTGGAGGGCAGGGCTGGAGAGTGTGGCTCCTGCAGGCTGTCCCTGGGCTCTGGTTCCCGGCGGACACCCACTGTCTGTGCCATTAGTTGGAACATGGACTTGTCCAGACTCAGCCAGTCCGATGGGAGCCTAGGGGACGGCAGTCGGGGTGCTGTCTGTGCCCTGGCTGAGATCAGGCTCCCCCACTCGCTCTGCTTATTCCATGGGCTACCTCTTACCTGTTTGTGGGCCGAGCTTCCCGCTGAGGTTTTCGGGACCCAAAGAGGTATCCCCACTTGATGCCCCCAGGTGAAGGCCCTGAGGCTCCTTCCTCACTTTCTGGTGCAGGGGCAGCAGACCCTTCTCTCTCCCGACTGCGCCTCAGCTCAGCCAACACAGAATCAGGGGGGCTCCCCATCCAGAAGGGCCAGCCCCTGTCCCGGCCAAGGGTCTCCTCAGGGGCAGGGCAGGCCTCAGCTCCCTCTACGACTCCCTCTCGCGGGGGAGGCCCCCCACCTCCTGCCCCTTTCTTTTTCTCGCTGCTGCTGCTGCTACTGCAGCTGTTGTTGCCACCACGGGGGAACCTAGAACCCTCAGTGGAGCCATCGATGTAGACCTGGGAGCTCTGCATGAGCTGGTACCACCAGCCAGCCTGCCCACCTCGGGCCCTGCCATGCCCTGAGCCCCCAGTTGCCTCTGCCACCTCTCTTGTCTCCTCCTCTTCCTCCTCCTCTTCTCCACCTTCTGGGGCACCCACACCCTTCACCCGTTCCCCTTGGGCTGCCCTGTCCATGTCTCCAGGGCCCTCCTGGCCCCGGGCCCGGGCCAACTGCAGTGTTGAGTGGGCGGACAGCAGCAGGTCCTGGGACACCCGCAGCAGCTCCTTGTGCTGCCGCTGCTGCTGCCCGCTTTGCAGCAGCCGGTGCTGGAACAGTAAGTCGAGGCTGAAGGGCAGCAGGGCCAGGGGCTGTAGCAGCAGCAGCAGCTCCTCAAAGAGGCCAGGGCACACAGTGTGTGCTGCACTCAGGAAGCCCCATGGCTGGTAGTGGGTCTGGATAATGTCTGGGGGAGAAAGAGAGAGGACTGAGCCACACGGAGGAACAGCCCAGACTGGGTGAGCCTCTGAAAGGTAACCTGGGCAGAGTCACGCATCGTGCCGCACAGGCTGTGTGCTGTGCGTTTAGAGGTACTGCAGCTGTAAACGACTCCTGAAGTTGTGCAGTGCATTAACTCCACAACCTGGAGACAGTGCTGGGCTTCCTGGCACCCTGACTGCCTGACTGTCCTGCCCACTGCCAGGCTCTAACACCGCAGAAGCTGGGGAAGCATTTGCGTGGGGGCCCAAGCTTTGAGGATGAAAGCTTGTGCAGTTCCCCTCGCCACCTGTAGCATCTGAAAAGACAGCTGTGTCTCCCTCTTTTGAGCCTCTGAGGTCTGGCCTATTTTGTTGAGTTTGTAATACAGGGTAGGCTTCTGGGCATTACCTTCATGGTTATAGAGGTGATTGAACCAGAACTCCAGGGACCGGATGCTGTAGGGAGATAGGTGAAAAGAGGTGAGTCTTATGTGGACACAGCCAGATAAGGTACAAAGGAGACGGATGCACGGGGCAGACACACAGCTGACTATAGGTGAGCATCTCCCTTCTCCCTGCTATGGCACGGATGCTGCCCAGTTCATTTCATGTCATATAGGTCTGCACAGTCAGTGGGGATGTAGGGAGGGGTGGACATGTGACTCACAAGCCAGTCACCCCCTCCTAGAATGAGTCATCTTATACAAGACCCAGAAGCCGGCAGCTACTGAGTACAGAGCCAAAGGGGATGCCCTGGGCCCATACTTGAGAAAGAAGAATACTATGACGTGGGTCCCAAGGAGGACTTAGGGTGAAGCAAGATGTGGAAGCAGTGCTGGAATTGAGAGGATCAGGGTTTACAATGTCCAGGGACACTGAGAACCAGATCCATTTCCTAATAAGCCAGATGGTGGATGTGTAAATGCAGAAGACCATGTTGGTGTTAGGGCCAGAGGGTGTCAGGTGCAGTGGGAAACCAGTGACCTACGGGGAGAGGCTGTAGCTCCGTGCGGGGAAAGTGAGCCTGGGCTCTGGCCACAGAGCCCACAGATCCCCTCGGCCTCAGCCTAGGGAGTTGCTTCTTCAGAGGCAGCAGAGCCCAGGGGAGAGGGCCGGTGGCTTGCGGATCTTGTCTCGCTACCACGCACTCACTTGAGCAGGCCGAGGATGAAGGCATTGAAGCGCATGGTGTGACTGGTGAGCTCTGGGAACTGGCTGACTTTGTTGTAGAGGCCGTGCAGGACCTTGGTGGATGGGCCTGGGAGGAAGCCAGAGTTGAGGGTCACATGCCCAGTCTCCAGAACCCTAAATTCACCCTGGGGCCCCCATCTTGCACTCAGCACTTACCTAGCTGCGTGGAGGCCTCAACCACACTCCATGGCATGTTCTTTCGTTGCCCGATGATGACGTCTAGCACAAAGGCCTTGAGCCCGTCCTCCAGCACAGCCCGGACCGCAGGGCACAGGTACTTCAGGACCAAGTGGCCTACATTGGGGCTAACGGAACTGTTCCCCAGCTTTGCCTGTGGACGCAGTAGGGAAGTACAGGGAATCACCAACCCTGGTCCTCCTTGATGCTCTTAGCCCTCCTGGTGCTTCCGTTGGGATCCCCACCCCTAGGTATTAATTCTAGGCTCTAGATGCAAGCGAGCAAGGGAAGGTGCAGCACGGGGAAGGTGAGGGTCAGCAGGGCAGAACTCAGCTCTCCATGGTTTCTCGCCTACCTTCACCCCGGGATCCCGGCTTGTGCCAAAATGGGCCACAATGAGATCCACTGCAGTGTTAACAGCTTTCACCAGCCCTGTAAGCAAGAATTTGATGTAACAGGTCCCTGAGCACATCTCTGGGCAACTCAGCTGGGACTGAGCCTCGGTGAGAGAGGGAGGGGCTTCCACACACACACACACACACTCTCTCTCTCTCTCTCCGTCCCTGCACATGGGTCTCATCAAGGTACCGGGCTCTGGCCGCTTCCTAATTTTGCCCAGTTCTCAAGCCCCTGTTTTCACCTCCCAGCCTGGACCCACTTCAGGGATTCCATCGTCGAGACCCTCCAAGTCCTAACTTCTTTGCCCTCTTACTCCAATCCTGGATCAATTTATTGTCTTTTCCACTTCAAGACATCAGGGCACTGGCTACTGGACAAAGGCCACTCACACCAGTGACCGACAAGGGCACTTCCCTGAAGTGTGCCTTGTGGCACCCTCAGCTCGGCTCTCACGTTGCCATGCCAAGTCTTTACCCCTCTTCTCAAGTCCTTGGTTCTGCTTCACACGGACAGCAGAGGCCACTGGTCATGAATTCCTCCAATTTTCCTCTCCATCCAAAAGACTTAAGTACATTACCTCTCTCCTCCCTCCCTCCTACCTGTTCCCTCTCACTCCCTTTCCATTTTGGAGGAAGGCGGCTCTTCCCCTTCTTACCCAAGGTTCTTCCCTCTCCCTAAGCTCTGAACTTCCCGCTCTGCCTCTGAAAGGGATTTTAGCTTCAACTTTCTTCCTTTTAATGGGCTCCTTCCCCTTCAGTCCATAATTATGCTCAGTATGTTCCCATCATCTCACTGAAACTGCTCTGTCGTGGTCCCTGGTTTGCTAAACAGAGTGATTCTTTGTCAGTCCGTACCTTACTAGAAGTTACCATAACGTTTACCCAAGGGGCTAGGCCCTGTAGCAACTGAATTTCCCCCAAGACAGCATGTGGGCACCTAGTTAGGACATGCAGTCTCCCTCACTGTACTCAGCTCCCAGAGGGAGGGGACTAAAGCCGGACTCCAAAGCATCTCATAAATGACCCTTGCTCACCTGCACATTCTCATGCTACACGGTACACGGTACATGGTGCACCATACACAGTACACAGATTTCTCGCCCTGATGCCTGTGCTGATTCCTTCCTGGCACTTGGAATTCTAAGACAGGGAAATACCTGGAGGGCCAGGTAGGAGGGCAACAGGCACAAATAGGTAGTGACAACAGAATCCCCGGCCTGAGCTGGGGGTTATACCCACCTTTTTTCTGAAGCAGGTCAATGGAAATGGCTTCAGAGTTGCCATCTGGGGACAGACAAAACTCAGCAGGTGGTTTCTCGGTCAAGGAGAAAGGGTCTTGGAAGTCAGGGCAGGTCAGTGGTAATGGCTTCACTATTTGACCTGGGAAGAAGAGAAGAACATCAATCCCAAATACCTCTCTCTCTAAGAGCTGCAGC